ATATGCGTAAACATCCTATGCGTTTGTAAAGCCCTTTCAGAACCGTAGCAGACAGCTTTTTGAAGACATTGGTATGATTGTGCTGCAGCCACAGTGCTCCATTCCCTTTGATGGAAAACATAAATAAACTGAACAATTTACACTGAAGTATTATAAAATGCTACATAAGACACATGACTAAGGAAATAAACCAAGCCATTGTTAATTAGCCATTCATGGAATGGGAACACTTTACTAGTGTGTAATATAATCAGCAACCAAACATGACTTAAATATTTTCTGTGCTACACTTATAAAGGGACTTGCAACTGATCAAGAAATAAATGACAAACAGTAGCAGCTAAATGTAAGCATTTACATTGGCGCAAGTAGCATAGGCGGAACTAGCAGAGAACAGTTACCAGAGTATAACAGGAAACCTGGTCACATTGCAACCCCTTCACTTCACTCTTACCTGAATCCTGGGGTTCTTATCCCCGCAGGCTGTTGTGATTTTTTATTTAAATGGTATAGTTGTAGTATATGGTATAGCGGCTTCACTAACACAGCTGTGCCTTCCATTCACAGATCCTTTGACAGAATCTGTGAATGAAGAAAGCGTTCCATTCGGAAAGAGTGAATTGTAGTTCTCAATATAATACAAGTACGCTGACGTCACCACACTTTCTGCTCCATTCATTCCCCCATCCCGACCCTGTGACTGATTGTAGTAGGGACGGTGACAGGGAAAGAATCTGCAGGAGCCAGAGCTCCACAGATCGCGGTTGCAATGCTTTAAAGTAGGGATGCACCGATACCAAGTACCGTACTCGGTACAAGTACAGATACTTTTCGAGCTCCAAGACTAGACTAGATAAACATTCAAAAGTTAGGCAGCTGTCATTTGTAAGGAGCACACAGAGCTCCTGGGATTTGTACATCTCTGTTTTAATGCATGATTTTGTTTTTATAAACATATATAAAGGGATGCACTGATACCATTTTTGCAAGTACAAGTACTGATACTTGTCCAAGTACTCACAGATACAAGTACTGATACATTTTTGTTTATTGTCATGTGACAGTTTTTCCAAAACAATACAGACTAATGATTTCAGGGCAGTGGTGGAGTGCCAGAGCTAGATCCCAGCTGCAACCCTGGTAGTTCTCATGAAATTGCTAAGTATCGGCACTGGTGTCTGAAAAGGTATGGTTAAGGTATGTTCAACCGCACAGCTGCTGGTGTGTGTGCGCCCGGACACTGCCAGTGCACTCGATCCAGCAGCAAGGCACTGCTTCTTTTTTTGTAGAACCATATTGAAGTAAGCACAAGTAAGATTTCATTCAGTTCTATGGGGCTCACTGCAGTGCCATGCGGTTGCACTATGTCTCACTGTGGTGCGCTTAAAAAAAAAAGTACTGCATGCTGTACTTTTTTTAAGCGCACACCACCAGAACGCAGCGGTGTGAACTGAGCTCGCCCATGACAAGGCGAATTGACTAATCTTGCGTT